GGGATGTGTTTTACCTGCCGACATCCAGCCTGTTGGCTCCTGGCTGAGTCAGCACAGATAGTGTAAAGTACACTTGCAAGGGCTATTAGCATGCTGAGGCTTTCAGAAGCGCTACCAGTTTCCTAAAAAGTGGTATACCTTTTCAGGAGGGCAAAGGTTTGCCTTTTTCTTGTGGATACTGGTGAATAATTTAAGATCCAGTAGACTTAATGCCATTTGTATGCTTACAATCTTGGCTGTATTTGACAGCATAGCCCGCCTTTTGCTGATGAAAGTGGAATTTCTTGATTAACATTAAAAAAAAAAAAACTTGATTATGTGATCTGTTGGACAAACCAGAATGAATCTCATCAAATGCAAAAAAAAAAGAAAAAAAGTACAAAGTATTATGAATCATTAATTACTTAACCAGCCCTCTATTAATGATTATTTGGATTATATCCAGGTTTTTCCTACTATTACAAACAGTGCTCTAATTATCATCCTTGTTCTGGTTACGTGTACAATTATACTTCTAGGATACGCTTTTAGAAGTAGAATTGCTGGATCAGATTATGAATATTTTAAACTTGTATAGAGATTGTTCAAGCCCTCTTCTCCACACCCCCCAAAACTGATGTCATGAAATAAGTTAATTTTTGTGAAACAGATGAAATAGAGTATCTTATTTTCATTTGCATTTATATAATTCTGAGCAAAGTTGGACATCACTTCATAAATTATAGGTCATTTATGGATTATTTGTCCATAACTGCCTCTTCAAAAATATTTCTCAAGTTGTTAATTTTATCTTTAATTTTAAGCTTAACTTTTGACTCTTTTATGATATTTTTTACCATACAATAATTCTTAGGTAGTCAAATATATCTATCTTTAACTTTTTGACTTGTTGGTTTTATGTCATGCCAATGATACTAAAAAGAACTATTTGTATTTTATTCTAGGGTGTATACAGCTTTATTTATTTTCAATTTAGATCTTTAATTCATCTGTAATTTATCTGGGGTTGATGAGTGAAGTAGAAATCCGGCCTCTTTTTAAATCTAAACGACAAGCCAGTTATAATACCAGGTAGGGATTAATCAATCCTTTTTGTCTTGACTAATCTGAAATGCTCCTAAATTCCTAAGTATTTTGTGGTCTAGTTTTGGGTTCTCTATTATGATTCATATTAATAAAAAAATGTTCAACAAATGATAATAAATGTTTTAAATTTGTTAAGATCATTAAGTATTAGATTTAATTATTTAGTGTCTATCAAGTGTATCAATCAAAGTGCATCACCAAAGAGAAATTATTGAGGTATAGTTGATTTACAATGCTGTGTTAGTTTCAGGTGTACAGCAAAGTGATTCAGTTATATATATATATATATATATATATATATAAAATATTCTTTTTCATTATAGGTTATTACAAGATATTGAATATAGTTTCCTGTGTTATACAGTACATCCTTGTGGTTTATCTATTTTTTATATAGTAGTTTGTATCTGTTAATCCCAAACTCCAAATTTATCCCTCCCCCCGCCGCTTTCCCCGTGGGAACCATAGGTTTGTTTTCTATGTCTCTGAGTCTGTTTCTGCACAATACTGTAAAGCAACCATACTTCAATTTTTAAAAAATGATTACCGCAGTGAATTTAGATAACATCAAAAAAGAGAGAGAAATTAGACATAAATCATATCCTTAAATTGCTGACACTCTGGTCACTATAAATAGAAGTATTGGGATTTTCCGTCAACATTCTTTTTGACTTGTCATGAGATTACTAAAACGGAACTCGGATTTCCTAACCTCCACTCGACTCTTTAATGTTGTGTAGCTCTGTTTCTTGTAGTCTGTCCCGTGTTCCATCTAAATCAGATTTATCAGGCTGTTTGTTTAAAGACAGATTCTTGGGTCCCATCTGGGACCTACTGGATCAAAATCACTGTCAGCTGAGCTGAGAAATTTGCATTTTACATACCAAAGCTTACAAACCATGACTGTGCAGCATTGTTTAGTAAGCCAGCGATGTAGTTAAGGAAGCAATACGGTGTGGTGTCATCTTCAGCTGCCCCTGCAGCACAACTAAATTGAAAATGGTAAAGTCATTTGTTCAGCTCTGTGAGCCTCTACTTCCCACAAACAGCTGGAGCCCCCAGCACCAGGAATCTGAGATAAAGATAGCCCAAAGCACAGAACAACTATCCCGTGGTCACAGACACAAATGCAGGTAGCAGTTTCTCGGTTGAGATAAGGTTTTTAATCAGCAGCAGCAGGTAAGATGACTGACAGCCTGAAAGAACAACCTGAGACGTGATGTCTAACACACGTGGTGGCAGCTAACTCACCCCAGAAGTGATGGACAAGAAGCAGGCCGACTTGACACAGGCAAATCCACCAAGAATATTCTCTACTATTTCGGTCAAAGCAGCATGGCCTAATCAGTAATGCAAACATCCTGTTTCCCAGGCTAACAACCTCTGTCCCTGGAACCCTCAGAGGGTTAGAGATAAAGAAACTGCTGCTCCAATTATGCATAATCTTCCTCTAGTCTGAAATGTCAACAGAGAAGGCAAATAACGCTGCAGAGAAAAGGAGGAAAATCTCACAGGGGAAAAGTAATTTGTTTAACGTTTTCCCATTTCCTTTTGTTTTGCACATGTCTCCTCCCACATCCATTTCAGAAAGCTTTCAGTTATGGGCTCTCAATGAAAGGAGAAATCGGTTTTGTGCAAAAATCAAAAAAGAAGCAATTGTATTGATAGAGTGGTTTGGTTAGATTTATAGTGCAGTAGGAGAGAGAAAAATGAAGCCCAAACGATTTCCTACCCTAATTTTGCAGAAGTCTTAGGAGACATTAGATGTGATATGGGTTTGCCTAAAGCATCTCTATCCTAAAGGGCTTGGCTATTTTGCTGTGAGAGGTAAGGGTGCTACATTCAGAAAACTGTATTTTCCCTCTGTGTCTGTATAAATGGCCATGTGCAGCTTTAGAGACGGTGAAGAAATTGGTGGGAGGGAATCACAGCTGCTTTTATTAAGGAAAAAGGATTTCCTTTGCACGATGCTTTCAGTGTGGCTCAGAGGAGCCCCAGGAATCCTTCAAGAAGGAGAAGGCAGCAGTGCCGGCTGTCCTGGTCCAAAATCTTGGCTGCAGTTCAACGGCAAGTATGTTTAAGGGGCAAGAGGGAGACCTTGTCACAAACATTATCCTGACGCCCTCTCACCACATACCCAGCCATTCCCTACCCCCGAGCTCTAGCTGAACTGGAGGGTGGAAGGATTCTGTCTTAGTTCAGCGTCTAAATACTGCCTAAGCCTCACCTGGGCCGATTGAGTCCCAGTCGCTGTGCAGATGGTGGGAGACTGCCCCTCACCACCGATCCTAACTCTCCAGCCTGCAGAGGCAGCATGAATCAGCCACTACCCACCAGCCCTTCCCCACACCCACCTATTTCCTATACTCACACCTCCAGGAAAAATGTACTGTCTGGGATTCGGGGGCCAAAGGGGAATAGGGTGTCAGGGCTCCCCCCAGTTCATTTCTCTCTATGCCTGAGCAGATTCCATAGGGAGTTGTTTTAACTTGCATCACTCTGTAAAACACTAAAGCTGGGTTTCAGGGGGGAAAAAGGAGAAAGAGAAAGAAGAGGAAGAGTGGGATATAAAGAATTTGTATATACCTGAAAATTGCCAGATGAACAGGCCACCATAAAATATTGCATGACGTTAGAGATGGCGGAAACCAGCACAGAGGGTGATGTCTGAAGTTCAGAGAACTGAGACAACACAATCGTTATTGAGTATGTGGCCCCCTCTCCCTACCCCCCAAATACTGTATTTTTTTTTTAGTTAATTTTGTTTTGAAAATTATCTATATCCTTTGAGATAGAGACATTCTGGATGGGGTCCCAGAAATAGGGTTGGAAGCTCTGGTCTCGGCACAAAGCATTCAAAACTCATCCTCTCTCATAGTTTCACTTGAAATCTCTGTTCCAGAACTGACCTCTCCCCTGACCTTCACGCCAGTGTCTTGGTTCAGTGCACTAATTATCTGTGTAACCAATTACCCCAAACTTCGCAGCTTGAAACAACAAACATTTCTTACCTGGCAGAGTTTCTGAGGGTCAGAAATCTGCAAACATCTTAGTTGGGTGGATCTGAATCGAGATCTCTCCTGAGATTGCAGCCAAGCTCTCAGATGGGGCAGCAGTCATCTCAAAGCTCAATTAGGGCAGAGAACCCATTTCCAAACTCACTCACTTGGTTGCTGCCAAGCCTCGGTTCCTCACTATCTTTTGTTCAGACAGGATAGTTATCACACGGGCCTCTCCATAGGACTGCTAACACCATAACGACATGATAGGGGGTGGGAATGAGGGGAAGCGGGGAGGGAGAGGAGGCACCCAAAACATCCACTGGAACCCTTATTCATT